GGGCGGGCGGGCCGGCGCCTTCTTCATGTCGCTCGTCCGGTAGAAGCGCTTCGGGTCGAGCGCGCCTCGCATCCGCACCATCAGCAGCTCGCGCTTGACTTCGGCCGTCATCTCGGGCGCGCGCATATTGCCCCAGCCCGCACCCGCCGTGTCGGGCTTCTCCCGCCGCCTCGCCCGAATCCCCTTGCTGCCCCCGCCCGCGTCTGCACCGCCGACAAAGCCGCTGCCGAGCGCCGGCTGCGCCGGCTGCGACGAGGAGGCACCGCTAGCCGCACCGCGCGTGACGCCCTGGCCGTCGGCGCGGAGGTAGAGCTGGGGCTGGCTGCCGCACAGCTTGGGGAGAGGCGGCAGCTTCTTCGCCTTGGCGGACATAGCGGCCCGTGGCGAACCAGAGAGAGAAAGCGGCTTCTGGGGAGTACATGATTGTGTGGGGAGTACATGATTACATGAAGGGTGGGGGGGGCCGTCCGCAGAGCTAGGCGGCGCGGGCACCCCACACTGGGGCCGAGAGAGAATCCTTTTGCCGCTTTCTTGTTCTTGATCCAGTTGGTACGCTCCTTCAGAAAGAACGGCAGGCCCGCCTCTTGGTAAAAAAAAGCGAAGGCGAAGGTGCCTGGAACAGACATGTCGCTGGCGAGATCTCTGCTGCTGCTGCTGCTGGTGGGCTGCGTTGCTGTGGCGGCGTTCGCCCCTGGCGCGCAGTCGCCTGCCCGTGCGCGTGGCGGTGCCAGCCGCGCAGCCGCAGCGCGCGCTCAGTTCCCGTCGCTCCCCAACCCCTTTGGCGGCGGCGAGGGCGACGCGGCGCCCGCTGCGGCTCCCGCGAGGGCGGCGCCGCCGAGCAACCCCGCGTGGCGCGGGACGGTGCTGGACGAGTCGCTGCCCGACCCCGTGTTTGACGACACGTACGAGTACAAGGGCCGCTCCAAGGTTGGCTTTGTCACCTACGCGGAGCTGCTGAATGCGCGCATGGCGATGATGGGCTTCACGATTCTGTTCCTGCAGGAGCTGCTCTTCGGGAAGGGGGTGCTGCAGATGTACGGGCTGCCCTACGACTCGGGCGCCTTCCTGGGGTAGGCGGCGGGTGCGCGGTGTTTCATGGTGCGGCTGGATGCCGATCTGTTGTTGTGTCGCGGTCGTGGCGGTGTGAGGGCTTGGTTGCCGTGTGCACGCACGCGTGTGTGCGGCGTCCCGACTCGTCGCCGCGTGCACGACGAAGTGCGTGCGCCGGGGGTCACCACCTCGTCCGCGAGGAGTGTCTCCCACAGCCGGCGGGCGTGAACGATGTCATGATGTCTTTCAGACTCGGCTCTTTGCGCGAAAACGGGCCGTGCGGTACGGTGTTGTGGCTCTTGTGCCCTGTTCCTTCCGGCCTTCGTCCGCACATGATCGTTTCGTGCGATAAACGCCGAGACGATGCCGGAGCCCGGACCTCTCCTCTCCCTCTGAGCTCTCTGTGACTGTGTGCGCCTGTGCGGTGCGCGCTTCTGGCCTCGCCCTGGTGCTGCCCTGGAGCCTGGTGTGTGGGTGTGAACTCGAGTGGGTGAAGCAGTCTGGGTAAGGTATCTCGGCTCCGTTGACCGTTCCCTCTCCCGCGCCACACACCACTCTGACTCCACGCCGCACAAACAAACCCCACAACGGAGGCTCACAATACGG